AATAACGTACAAGTTTAAAATCTATAAAGTGCAGATTTTTTTAAAGAGTAGCTAGGTGGCAGTGGATAGAGTACAAAAATCCGAATAGATAGATTCATTTTCCTGAGTCCAAATCTGGCCTCAGACACTTACTAGCTGTGTGACCCTGGTTAAGTCATTTAACCCTACCAGCCTCCATTTCCTCATCTGTAAAATGAGCTGGAGAAGAAAATGCCAAACCACTCCAGTATCTCTGCCGAGAAAACCACCAATGGGGTCATCAAGAATTCTACACAACTGAGATAACTCAACAACAACAACAAAAACATTTTTTTTAAATAGCAAAGCAAGTATTTCTATCTGAATTGGTAGAGGAAGTTCATCACTGCAGGGATCCCTATTCCAATGACACCACAAGTCCAGTCCCTAGAGCTTGGTCGGTTGCTGTCCTTTGCTCTCAAAGAGGACCAAAATGACATCACTAAGTTGGAGTTGAGATACAGTGCTAGCCTGTGGCTAATCAGATCATCAGGAGCTCAGAAGGCTCTCCCACAGGCTGGGCACAAACAGTCTATAGGAACATTTGGAGTGGAGATGGGTCTAAATTTGAGCTTCTCGAATTTCTTTTGAGCTACTGCCATTCTGCTTTGCTCACAGCACACAGCACCTTCTTTGATGTGGGCACACCATGCTGAGCAGTCCTTTTCCAGTGTATCTCATGTCTCACAATTGATTCCAAAGTTCTTTGGAGACTTTGAAAGCATCTTCTGACTACCATGTGAGCACCTGCCTTACGTGAATTCTCCATAAAACAGTCTTTAGGCAAATATACATTTGGCATTCAAGCAATGTGGCCAGTCCATTTTTGTATAATATCTGTGGAATACAGATCTTGTTGCAAGTTACAGTTTACCTTCTATCTAACTTAAAGACCCTAAAGAAAGTCTTGAGCTTTTTATTTGTTTTTTTTCCTTTCTGTTATTATTATTATTATTATTATTATTATTATTATTATTAACAAATGAAAGGACTCCTAGAAATGTTTGCAGCAATACGGGTCAAATCATGCTATGACAAAATCAGGGGAATAGCCATGTTATTTTGTGGAATTCGAATTTTGCGGAATCTGCTATTGCTATAAAAAGTGAGGTTCAAATAACTGACTCGGGCCTTTGTCATACTGAGATTTTAGTCTTAAAAGTATCTATAGATAAGAAGAAATACATAAAAGGTTTGTTGAGGATTCGTTGGCTGAAGAGAAATAGACCCTATTGCCCAATTCTCCCCTGGACCTTTGAGCGCTTTTAGCAGCATACAGCTGTGAGCTCATCTCAGGATCTGGTCTGAGATTAGGGCTGAGCTGAGCTAATGAAAGACTGAGGCTGATGAGCAGGTATGTTTTCTTTCAAAGATACTTCCTTTTTTTTAAAGCTACAGCTCTGAACCAACATGAAAAATACAGGGTGATGACATCCTTGTCTAAAAGAGGAAATGTGCTCAAGAAATAAACATCAGGAAACACGGTTTTAGAAAACAGATAACTTTGAAACCTATGAAGGAACTTCCTTCTACTGACATTCAAACATTTTCTTTTTAAAAGCCATCTAGGTTAAACATGACTCCTGTGAGGAAGGCTCCTATTTTTGCTATTATTCAGGCTATGTGGGCACGATGGCCCACAGAGTAGATCATGAATAAACCCTCATGGGGAAGATAAAACCCATTTTCTTTGTGGATTAGAAAATTATGACAAAATTTCATCCACATGAATAGACGGGTTTGTCCCCAGGTCTCCTTCATTCTTGAGGTATATTTGAGACACTAGGGATGTTGCTGATACTATAATATAAGCAGTCTAAACCTGGGGTTTTTCTCTTATCATGCCCAGGTTTCTTTTTCTACATGTTTGATTGATAATTAAGCTTAAGGGTATTACAAGGCAATAATGATTCTTCCACAAAATGATATTCCTCTTGCTAAAGGTAGAGGCTAGGGGAGAAACAGAGATAAGGAAAACAAGAGGAGCAGAGAGGAAAAGGGAGATTATTCTTGAGGTTAGTTTAATCTTGTTTTGATTCTCACAACTACAATAGAACTCTGCTGACCAGCTCTGTTCTTTCTCCCACCCTTACCCAATATTTCCTTTGAATTATATAAAATCTCAGAAGAGACCTTCAGGGTCATCTAATCCATTACCTACCTGAATGAATCTCTGATACATCTTATGTTCGACTAATGTAGTAAAATTATTTGGGAGGGAGGGAGGTTTAAGAATGACTGGAAGGAAGGATGGTGTCACACTCAACAAAACAGAAAAGCTAGAAACAAGGGTGAGTTTGGAGGAAAGATAATGAGTTCCATCATGGAAGAGTTGAGTTGGAGATGTGTGTGGGACATTCATGTGGTGATATCCAAAAGGAAGTTGGTGATGAAGGCCTGGAACTCTGCAGGCCTGATGAGGCTGGTTGTGTAGATTTGGGAGTCGTCTTAATAGAGATGATCGTTGGAATCCAAGGTAGCTAATGAGATCACTGAGAGAGAGGGAATCTTTAAAGGAAAAAAAAAAAAAGGTAGTCCACAACCAAGCCCTGGGACACACCCAGGCATAGGGGGCAGGACACAGACATTGATCCAGAAAAGAAGACTTGAGAAAGACCAGTCAGACAAGCAGGATAGAGATGGAATGTGGGTGAGGTCCTGTTGGTTCAGAATCCTATTGTACTTATACAGTACCTGAGGACCTGAGCTATTCTTTTCCCCATGATTAGACCAACTAGGAAAAGCAGGCAGTCGAATACTAGTACAAAAAGTACTCCTTTCCCTATTACTCAGAAATAAATTTGGACTCCAGCTTCCCTAAATAGTAATGAACTTGAAGGACTTGTAAGAATCATATCCTATCCATTTCTGAAGTATTTTCCAAAGATTTCAGAATGGTGGGTCTTCACTAGGAAGTAGTAGCTACTGTGCCCTGTGACAAGATTGCTGTTACACCATTAGGGATCAGATGTTTAGACTTCCACTTGCTAGCGTATGAGAGGTGGGAGGTCGGGGAAAGGGGTAAAAAATTCAAACAAAAAAAGTTGGAGGGGAGAGGAGCACCTAGTTACCTTTAGTGAATTCAGGTGGCCTGGCCCAGATGAACTCCGCCTTAGGTCTTGAAAAAGCTAGCAGAAGTAATTACTGAGTCATTGTAAGAAATATTTGAAAGATCATACTGTAGGAGATGTGGGGTGTAGTTTTTTTTAAATGTCAAATCAATCAGAGAAGTGATATTTGGAAGTTGTTAAAGTTCAGCCTTTTATGAAAGCTATGAAACTATTTGCATAATTTATGTAAGGTCCTTCTCTTGCCCCTCCCACCACTATAATGTAAGCTCCTTACAACTTGCCCATTGTAAGTACTTAATCAAGTGCTTATTGAATTGAATTGAAAAAAAACCTGAAATATCATAGACAGGGGGAGAGGTACCACAGATTGGAGAAAGGCAAATATTCCAATCGTTTTTTCTCCTTTTAAAAATTTAAATTTTTATTTTATTTTCAAATGAAGGTCTTCACTTCTCTGCCTCTTCCCATGTCCCAGTTTTTAGGAAAAAAATTAAAAAAGAAAGGGAAATCCTCAAACCTAAAGGCCAGTGAGCTAGATTCCAATTTCTTGGGAAATTTTAGAACAGATGTTCTAGACATGTTGTCCAAGGTCCAAGTAGGGAAGTGAGATTTTGAAGAGCTAGCATGACTTCATCAAGAACAGGTCTTGCCATGCTAACCTCCTTTCCTTTTTTTTTTTTGACAGAATTACTAAACTAGTAGTTGAGGGAAATGCTGTGGGTATTGTTTATCTGTTTACCCAGATCTTAGCAAAGCTATTGATAAAAATATCTCCTAGTGGAAAAGATGGAGAAATATTCAAAACTGACTGGATTACCAGGCTCAAAGTAGTTTATTGGATTCAATGCCAACATGTCAAGTCTTCAGTGGAGTACCTCAGGGATCTGTGTTTGTCCCTGTGCTGTTGAACATTTTTATTAACGACTTGGATAAAGGCAAAGATGTGATGATCTTCAAGTTCTCAGAGGACGACAAGCTGGGAAAGATAGCTTACATTCCAGAGTACAGCATCAAGATCCAAATGGTTCTTAACAAACTAGAGTATTTGGGCTGGATCTAAGAAAATGAAATTCAATAGGGATGAATCACTGAATCAATAAACATTGTCTGTTTCCTTCCCTTTCCATTTTGTGATTTCATCTAGAGGTTTTGGGGAGACTCAGTTGGGGTTGCATTCTCAAAGATTTTCCTAGACCCAGGTCTCCCCTAATAATCATGTAGGGAAAGCCCAAAGCTAAGAATTCCAAGAAAGACATAGTTCATGTTGTGTAGCGCCTCCACACCCCCCACCAAAAACAAAAAAAGCCAGCACTCTTTCAAGGAGTCTTTGTATAAGAAATATAGTACAACCCCCAAGTGATGCCTTATTCATGAAATCTACTATGGCCAGTCATTGGATAAGAGACCAAGGAGCTCTGGATCTGGGTCTCAGCTCCTCACAGTACAGCACATGGACTGGAGACTCTATTTCCACCCCCAGTGCAGACTGAGGTTCCTGTAACTGGTCTTGTTCCATTCAACGTCTTTCACCATCATGGATGTCCACCCGCTTCTGAAGTATTTGGCTCATGGCTCACTCGTGGAGCACGGAATCCAAGGAAGACCCTGGGAAGTTTGTTGCCATTCCAGATTGGCATCTCTGACCTTAAAAACTTTAGTTCCTATTTCCTGTGACCAGAAGACAAGAGATATGTCACAGGCTCCCTGGAGGGTTGGTTCTTTGCTACTTTTTGGCTCACTGAGTGAGTTCTGCCTTCTCCTTACAGCAATTTAACACATTTGTTTTCTAAACACCGCACACTGAAGGGGAAATTATTGAACTCATCTGTGGTCACAAACTCACAAACAAGAGATTGCTACATCTTCTTCCTTGAGTGTAACCTCGATGTTTTGGGTTTTTTTCCCATTTAGGTGGTATCATGGCAATCTCTCTCGACACGCCGCAGAAGCGCTTCTTCTCTCAAATGGAAGTGATGGAAGCTACCTCTTAAGGAACAGTAATGAGAAGACTGGTCTATACTCTCTTTCTGTGAGGTATGTCGTCCTATCAAGAAATGAGCACAACATAACAGCACTTGACAATTATATCAATGCACCTCGAGCTCTGGGCTCACTCTCCCAGTGCCCTCTATCACACACCCAACCAGAGCTCAGCTATTACTTTTTCCCTCTAGGGTGGAGGATAATTTTCTAGCAGTAAAGGCTCATGAGCCCCCATCAGTGTATGTCCCTTATTGATTATCTTTTTAGATAAATTAATTACCCAGACTTAAATAGCTTTTAGAAAAAAAGATATTTACTAAGGTAATATAATAAGAACAGCTGGTACAAACTCTGCTCCAACCTGGGACCTACTCACAACGTCCACGTGCAGAGTCCAGGGAGAACTGGGCTCAGGCTTAGAGCACGTGAAGCAAAAGGAGGAAGTCGTTGCTTCCAGAAGTCCTTCCGCTCGAAAGCCTTTTCTCCCCTTCATAACCCGACCCCTCCATGAAGTTATCTCAGGTATGGTGTATCTTTCTACCGAACACTTTGTAGAGTCCCGAAAGTGCCTGTCCTTAGTGCGTCTAGTTGATTCTCAGCTCCTGATGTAAATAGTCCCGTCAGCTCTTCTAAGGATGCTGGTTAGAACACTGATGAGAATTCCAAATCCTCTGACTTTCTGAGTCCGGGAAGTCATCTTCTGGTTAAGGTGGGAGAGTCAAAGGCTCTTCTCTCCTCCCCCCCCAAAGTGATTATCTCCCAGGAATTTGGCAAGAGCTCTCTCTTTCACTGAAAAACTAGGCTCGTTTATATAAGAACCATAGGGTATGACGGAGACTTTTCAGACCATCCCAACACAGTTTCTTTGCATAATTTCTTCCTTTCCTCTAATAGCTTTCATTCCTTCCAAATGGAGCAAAGACTTCTCAAACCTAACCTAATTCCCTCAGTTGATTGGTTCACTAAACGTGTTCTTACCTGGTTAAAGTTATTACTTGAAGTGGGATGGAATAATTGATTCAATTGACACCCTCCCCCAAGTTACACTTCGATCTCCTTTACCCCCACTCTTGTACCACTGGATCACAAATCTGCATTGCTATTTTTGGACAGTCTGGTTAAGGAGCTCCCAAATCTGAATGGTAAAATAGCCAAAACGTGCTTGCTCACTCACAATTAGAATTATATCGGTGATAAAAGCTACATTGTAGAAGGGTGTCTGCCCAATACTTCTCAGAGAATTAAGCAGCATAGAATTCTTTCCACTCAAAGATTTATTGGTTAGAATGGCAGTGAGATATGAGAATGCATATTTGATCTGAATGACAGTACACGATGATGGTCCCCAAATACTGTCAGCATTTGCTTTATTCTATATGTAGTATGAACATCCTAACCAAACATGGTGGGAGCTGCATTAGGATGGAAGTGTTTTATTGTCTTTGATGATGAGACCGAGAAGAATGATCTTCCTCTTGAAGGCAGTGTGGTGCAGTAGAGCAAGTACGGTCTCTAGAAGCAGGGGACCAGGATTCAAATCTGCCTCAGTCACTTCCTTCATGTCCTTGGGTAAACCAATCATGCAATTACCCTTGACTTCAGTTTCTTCATCAGTAAAACGAAGCATTTGGACTAGGTACCCCTAGTGTATAATTCTGTTCAGTTCCCTGAGGGCCAAGGAGTGAGAAGGCACAAAATCACTATCTTACCTGTTTGTAGAGTTTGAAGACGAGACCATTAGGAATCCAGTTTTTAAATCTTCAGAGCCACAACTAGAAATAAGTTGGTGAGGGAACAAACTTGAACACGGTCAACATTGTTTTAAAATAATAATGTATTGGCTTTAAGGTTTCCAAAGAACTTGCTTCATAACAACCCTTTAAGGAAGACATTTCAAGTGTCATTATTCTTATTTCATAGACAAAGAAACTGAGAGGTTCATAGTACTGCCCAAGCACACACGACCTGGAAGTATCAGAGCTAGGACATAGACCCCATCTCCTGTCTCCAACTCCAGCGCCCTTTGTATGAAATCACTCTGCCTCTTGAAACCAATCAATCAATCAATCAATCAATAAACATTTATGAATCAGCTGTTATGTGCCAGGCATTGTGCTAAGCAAGGGGGATACAAAAAGAGGCAAAAGGCAATGCTTGCCCACAAGGAGCTTACAATCTGAATGAATATGCAGGTCACCATTAATGTTCTCAAAGCATAAACGCTGTAAGATGTCAATGGAGAGAGCTAATCATATAGAAGACTTATTATAAAGGGTGTGTGTGTGCATGTACATGTGTGTATTTTCTAGGTATGCCCTATTCCAGGAGAGGGGAATCTGCAGGCCACATGTGGCCCTCTAGGTCCTCAAGTGACTGAATCCAGACTTCACAGAACAAATACCCTTCATAAAAGCATCTGTTCTGTAAAACTTGGACTCAGTCAAAAGGCCACACTCAGGGACCTAAAAGGCCACATGTGGCCTTGAGACCGCAGGTTCTCCACTCCTGCCCTATTCCTTTTCTCTCTCACTCTACACCTTTTTTTTTTAACTGAGTATATAAGGGCCCTTTAGAGAAGTCGGACAATGAAGGAACAAAAATGATTACTCCCCTACATTCCATCCAAGAGGCAAATCAGGTTTTGTATGTACTCTGCAAAGCAGAATTTGTCTGATCTTCTGGAGACTGAGCCATGCCCTGAGAAAATGTAACCATTGCATCAAATGTCTTAGTTCTTGGACAGTAACGACTGGAATCATATCAGGATTGTGTATTTCTTTAAGAGAAATGATGAATTTCACATAAATAACAAATAGATATGTATAGGTGATAAATGTTTTTCCCCTTTCAGGGCCAAAGAATCTGTCAAACACTTTCATGTAGAATACACAGGCTATTCATTCAAGTTCGGCTTTAACGAGTTCTCAAGTTTGAAGGAGTTTGTCAATCATTTCGCAAACCAGCCTTTGATTGGGAGCGAAACAGGTAAGCTGTGTGCAAATGGAAGCCTTGTAAGAGGTTGTTTGAGAGATGGAGAGAAAAGAGGGAACATAGGAGCCAAATGTCCGTAACTGTAATGATTTGTCACCTACACTGGCTTTTGAACGTGAAATCTGAGTTGACCTTTAGACTCAATGCGCTATTATACTGTTACTAGCTTTGAATCAGAAAAACTTGATGTCAAATCTGACACCTACTGTGTGACCTTGGTCAAGTCACTTAACCTTTGTTTGCTTTAGTTTCCTCAACCATAAAATGGGAATAATAATAGAACCTAGAACCTACCTTCTAAGATTATTGTGAGGATCAAATGAGATAATATTTGTAAAGGGAAAAAAGTGCTTGACACACTGCCTGGCACATAGTAGGAACAGTGTAAATACTTATTCCCTTCCCGTCCCCCCTTCGGTTAACTCTGAGACTAAACTGAAGAACCAGTTCACATCCGTACTAGTGAAACGATTCCTCATCAGGGAGTTTCTTGTACCACAAAAAGAATAGGCTGAGTTAAAAGAAAAGAGGCCAGATTTAGAATTTCAGAAGAGAAAGGGATGTTGTTGTCAACAGCCTTTTTCTTTAGATAGGCTTAAGTGAGAAAAAGATACCAGGTGTTGGGAGATGCACTGTGGGAACTCCCTCTAGCAATGCAGAGAGGTGACTTTCTAGCACAGTACCTTCAAGTCTCTGGGAGTTGTCTGGAAGGTTGAATGACCGACCCAATGTGGCCATACAGCTTGCATGAGTCAGAGATGGGACTGGAACTCAGGCCTATCCTGGCCCCAAGACTAGCTCTCTGTAACATAGGCTGGTAAAAACCTAAAATGGAGTTTTTTGAGCCCTGTTTATGATAAGAGCAGCTAGGTAGAGCAATGGATAGAGCGCCAGGCCTGGAATCAGGATATCCTGAGTTCAAATACAGCCTTAGACACTTACTAGCTGTATGACCCTGGGCAAGTCACTTAACCTTGCTTGCCTCAGTTTCCGCATCTGTAAAATGAGCTGGAGAAGGAAATGGCAAACCACTCCAGTATTTTTGCCAAGAAAACCCCCAGATGGGGTCATGAAGAGTCAGAAATGACTGAAAAATAAAACAGTAAAAATGCTAAGATAAAGCCAACCTGAGATATCGAAGGTCTCCTTCAAGCCCACCTCAGAACTCTGCACACAGCACACATTCAACAAAATTTGTGGATTTGATGAGTCAACAGCACAGAAAAACTCCTTGTTAGTGAAAGTGTATTCATTTGTTGTTGTTGTTGTTTTTTATCAATAAGGGAATATCAACAGGAAACAAAGAAAAAACAGTGACAAGACAGATTTGGGGGCTCTTCACAATTGTGTGTCTTCACTGACCAATAATTAAAACAAGTAAGAGCTATAGGGTAACTGATCACTAATACCCATTTAATTGTTCTTTGTAGCCCTGAGATACGTTGCCATTGAGATCCTTCAGAGTTACTCTTCAGTCATGAGAACCAGAGGAGAGAATGTAATAAGTTGTTCCCCAAATCAACAGAGCTGAAATTGCAACCAAAACATAGCCTATAAATCTGAGCCTAATCTTGATGGTAACAAATGGACCTTTAATAAAATATGGCCATGAACAGAAAGTATAGAAGTAAGAGAAAGAGAGAAGCTGGAGATGCACCCCCACCAAATTCATAGGTGCATGGTGAAGGGACAGTAAGTTCTTTAGTCTCCTAACAAAATTAGGAGCTATGGGAAAATAAGACAAAAACAATGAAGGGGAGGAACTGGGATGGTAGAAGGAAAGTCCCTCTCTAAAAGGAGAGAAGAAAGATTACCCCCAAATAACATTTGCATGAATGGGAGATGAAGCAAGGAAGGAAGGAAGGAAGGAAGGAAGGAAGGAAGGAAGGAAGGAAGGAAGGAAGGAAGGAAGGAAGGAAGGAAGGAATTTAAGTAAATTCAAAACATTTGAGATAGAGCAGATAATGGAAGAGAGGGCAGAGAAGAGCCTATGGGGTTCACATCAAAACAGCATAAGGAAAATTAATTACAGGGGTTAAGTATTGACTTTGAAGATGAAGGGAATAAAAAGCAACACTATGTGAGGGTAAACACAAGCTTAATAATAATAACTTTAAAAGTGAATAGACCAAAGAAATCTAATAAAATGGCATCCAACAGTTTCAACAAAAAAAATCTAAAAACAAAGATACATCTGGAATCAAACGAGGAGACTGAATTAAAATATATTATATATCAGGTGATTCCAAAAGAGCAGGAGTTGCACCTATGCTAACAGACGAAGCAAAAATAAAATTTCTCAATGTCAACAGAGATAAACTATATTATGCTTAAATGAACCATAGACAATGAAATAATATCAGTACTAAATGTATACCCACAAAATGGCATAATATCTAAATTAATAGAGGAAAAGCTATCTGAACCACAAAAAGACATAGAAGTTGACACAATTGTAGGAGACTTTAATTTTCCTCTCTTAGAGCTGGATTAATCTAACAGAAAGATAGACAAAAAAGGAAAACAGGGAATTGAACAAACTACTGAAGAAGTTAGCTCTAAAAGACTTAAAGCATCCTCTGAATGGAAACATTAAAGACTATACATATTTCTTGACATCATAGTTGCAAAAATAGGCTATGTGTTGGGGCATAAAGAAGTTACAAACAAATGTTAAAAAAGCATGAATGCCATGCACATTCTTTATAGACTATAACAATAAAAGTGGCAATTAATAAAGAGAGTACAAACAAAAGATAAATAGAAACAGTAATGGCATCCTGAATAATGAGATTCAAAGAAGAAATCACAGAAATAATCAATATCTGTGTGAAAGATTGATAATAATGAGACAACATGCCAAAATTTCTGGAATGCAGTTAAAGCAGTCCTCAATGGAAAAAAATCTCTAAAATTTACATGAACTACCTAATCTACCTGCCTGAATAATTTCTCTCTCTTTCTCTCTCTCCTTCTTATACACACACACACACACACACACACACACACACACACCCTGATTCTGGGTCTTCAGAAAACATTCTAACTATAAAGTTTTTGATGAAGAGAAATGAATTCAGAACACAGTTCAAGATGCTTTTTATTCTCACTCTATACCTGTTTATTTTTATCTTTAAAATGAAAGTTTTAAAAAAGCAAACTTAGTGGATAGTTAGGGGTGCTGACATCAGCACAATCTCTGTCTTATATTGGCTCTGTGAATCTGAGTAAATCACTTATATCTCAGGGCCATAGCAACTCCAGACTAGAAGTTGCGGAACAGATACAGATCTGCATCGACTGAGGAAGTTTCTTCACTGGTAGTTCCTTATACCAATAAGGTCACAGGTCTGGGGGGAAAATGAAAGGGCAAAAAAAAAAAACAGAAAAAAATCTGCAAAATGTGGGAGGACAGGATTGAATGCTCTGGAGGGTCTCTCCCAGTTGTGATGATTTCTTAATTATGGACTGTATTAAATCATTCCAAATTGCCATAAGAAGTTGCTGTTGACTAATTTCCCGTGTTTACATTTACTCATATTTGAGTTCTTTAAACTCCTAAAAATTCATTTTAAAGTATAAAACTTATTTTTAAAGTAAGCAATAACTTGTAAAACCAATTCTCATCAGTAATTTAAACACATAAATGCGTAGGGGTTTTCTCATTACTAATGCTTTATTATTTTGTATAGACTGCAATCGAGTTTTTAACTTATTAACTGATACTAAATTTAAGCTCTTCCTTGTTTATACAAATCACCATCAAATATGAAGGTGAACCAAAGGGCAATGATGAGAAGTATGCAGAATGTACTTGGAAATTATCATATAAGACATCTACAGGCAGTCTCCTGCCTCTTTAATCACCCAGCCAGCATTACGAAATAAGAGTTCAAGTCAAGTATTGCATAGATCTGGACTTCCCTCTTTTCACAAATACTTCTAAGCCAAGAAAATTCTAGTTGGCTTTTTTTTTAATGCTGAACTTCTGCTAATATTAAGATTCTGATCCTTGACTGAAGGAAGTTATCATACTATCATAGTTACTTTATAAGGTTCTATCATAATTTCCTTATAAAGTTAAGCCCTGCTTCCTCAAAGGTCTCTGCGATACACATTTACTTTAAAAGGCTAAAATGTTTCAAAATTAATCTTATTTTAAGACTATTATAACACCTCTGGAGGTGATTGGAGATTTTGAGATTTTCCATGCCAAAGATTAGCTGGTTTTGTATTCTTTCCTCTCCTCACTCCCTAAAAAATAGAAGAAAAGCAATTTTAAAAACCACCTCAATAACCAATTGACTTAGCTTCTTCCCGAGGGAGTGGGGCATATAATAAAATGCATTGACTTAGCATTCTTTTCTGTGCATTCAGAAGATATTGTAGCATGCTTTGTATAAAAAGTGAGGTGCTACTTGCAAAGCAGATCTGATAAATCATAGAAATACTGTGGGGAGAATCCTTAGAGCTTTAAACAAAGGAGTTTATACGTGGGGTCACAAAAAGTCTTAGTGAAGTTTTGAAGATACTAAAGCTTTCAGCAACACATGAAAATAGAAGAGGAACATGAATAGGTGCAAAAAGAAAAGTTACCTTGTTTCCAGTTCGGTGAATGAGCAGAGCTTAAGACTGCACCAAGACTTTTGCGACACCCTAGATTTGATCCTAGGGGTAACAGGAAGCCAAGGAGTGTGCTACATTGTAAGGAAAATGCTCTTTAAACCAAGTGAACTATTATTCCTGGGTTTAGATAATCTTCTCTAAAGTTCCTTCATTCTCAAGATTCTGCTCTTGTTCTGTCCTTCTAATCATGTCCGACTCTTTGTGACTCCATTTGGGGTTTTCTTGGCAAAGACACTGCCATTTCCTCCTCCAGCTCATTTTACAGATGAGGAAACTGAGGCAAACAGTTACGTGACTTGCCCAGGGTCACGCAGCTAGGAAGTGTCTGAGGCAGGATTTGAACTGAAGAAGAGGAGTCTCCTGATGCC